CTTAGTGGCCTCGATCTCATGATGACTGAGGTCTTTGGTCTTCGCTGGCCGAGGTCCCTGTCTTGCTGGCCTCGACCTTATGCTGATCGAGGTCTTTGTTCTTCACTAACTTTTGTCTTTGGCTTAGTGGCCTCGATTTTATGTTGACTGAGGTCTTTGGTCTTCGCTAGCCGAGGTCTCTAGCTTACTGGCATCGATCTCATGCTGACCGAGGTCTTTGGTCTTCGTTGGTCAAGGTCTCTAGCTTAGTGGCCTTGATCTTATGCTGATTGATGTCTTTCGTCTTTGCTGATCGAGGTCTTTGCCTTAGTGGCCTCGATCTTATGCTGACTGAGGTCTATGGTCTTTGTTGGCCAAGGTCTCTGCCCTAGTGGCTTCGATTTTATGCTGACCGAGGTATTTGGCTTTCGTTCGCCAAGGTCTCTGGCTCACTGGCCTCGATCTCATGCTGACCAAGGTCTTTGGCTTTCATTGGCCGAGGCCTCTACCTTAGTGGCCTTGATCTCATGCTGACTTAGGTCTTTGGCCTTTGCTAGCTGAGGTCTCTGCCTTAGTGGCCTCGACCTTATGCTGACCGAGGTCTTTGGTCTTTGTTGGTCGAGGTCTCTACCTTAGTGGCCTCGATCTTATGCTAACTGAAGTCTTTGGCTTTTGTTGGCTAAGGTCTCTGCCTTACTATCATTGATTTTGTGCTAACCGAGGTCGTTGGTCTTTGTTGGCCGAGGTCTCTGCCTTAGTGGCCTCAATCTTATGCTGACCGAGGTCTTTGCACTTTGTTAGTCGAGGTCTCTGCCTTAGTAGCCTTGATCTTATGCTGACCAAGGTCTTTGGTCTTTGTTGGCCAACGTCTCTGGCTTACTGGCCTCGATCTTATGCTAACCAAGGTCTTTGGCTTTCATTGGCCGAGGTCTCTACCTTAGTAGCCTCGATCGTATGCTGATCGAGGTCTTTGGTCTTTGTTGGCTGAGGTCTCTTCCTTAGAGACCTCGATCTTATGTTGACCAAAGTCTTTGGATTTCGTTGCCTGATGTCTCTGCCTTAGAGTCCTCAATCTTATGCTGACCAAGGTCTTTTGTCTTTGTTGGTCGAGGTCTCTGCCTTAGTGGCCTTGATCTTATGCTGACCAGAGTCTTTGGTTTTCGCTGGCTAAGGTCTCTACCTTAGTGGCCTCGATCTTATGCTGATCGAGGTCTTTAGCTTTCGTTGGCCGAGGTCTCTGCCTTTGTGTCCTCGATTTGATGCTGACCGAGGTCTTTGGTCTTTGCTGGTCGAGATCTCTCGCTTAGTGGCCTCGATCTTATCCTGACCAAGGTCTTTGGCCTTTGTTGGTCGAGGTCTCTACCATAGTGGCCTCGATCTTATGCTGACTGAGGTCTTTGGCTTTCGTTGGCTGAGGTCTTTGCTGTAATATCCTCGATCTTATGTTAACCAAGGTCTTTGGTCTTTTTTGGCCAAGGCTTAGCCTTAGTGGCCTCAATCTTATGCTAATCGAGGTCTTTGGCTTTCGTTGGCCGATGTCTCTGCCTTTGTGGCCTCAATCTTATGTTGACCGAGGTCTTTGGTCTTTGTTGGCCGAGGTCTCTTGCTTAGTGGCATCAATCTTATGCTGACCGATGTCTTTGGTCTTCATTGGCTAAGGTTTCTGCCTTAATGGCCTCGATCTTATGCTGACTGAGGTCTTTGGTCTTTGTTAGTCGAGGTCTCTGCCTTAGTGGCCTCGATCTTATGATGACTGAGGTCTTTGGTCTTCATTGGCCGAGGTCTCTCCCTTAGTGGCCTCGATCTTATGCTGATTGAGGTCTTTGGTCTTCGCTGGTCGAAGTGCTTCCAAGCTCTCAACGTTGTTGGGGAGCTCGGTGGCACCTGGTCTTGGAGTGTTGTGGTGAGAGGAAGAACCCCAAGATGGGGAACAGGCTCCAGAGCGGTCGGATATGTTTCTAGGCATGACTGTTTTGGGTGCACAGAAAGTGGTTTTAGGAGATGGCTTTTTATGCGATTTCCACAAACAGCACCAATCTGATACTTCTTGATCTGAGGTGTCCCAAGCCGAGGTTGCTGTCAGATAATCCTGCCAACTGGACGAGGCCGAGGTGGAAGGATGAAGCCACACTCCAAGATTTAAAACCTAGAAAGTGGTCAAAGGCCCGAGGAGTTATTCCTTGGGTAGGTACTTCGACGCTCAAGTTAGTCGAGAAGAATGGGTGGTCGGGCCTAGCAGTTGAGGGTAATGTCAGTCTGAGCAATATAGTAGTATGGGTGCCGAAGAGTCAAAAAGTCAGATCCCTTACCTTGAGCGGGAGTTACCTTTTTATAGTTGTGGATCTATGTCCTATTCGGATGAGGCTTCCGGGGTTGTCGGGATGTGGTTATCCGCCGATGTCTTCGGGATGAGTCCTAATCCCCAGCAGAGCTGTCCTCCTTATCCGTATGGGATTCTCCTTTCTTAGTCTTGCTTATCTAGCTTACATGGTGTTGACGTGGCCAAGGAGATAAGATGGCCACGGAGGAGACACGTGGCACCCAGGGCCAGCTCAACCATAATCCAAACAGATAGAACGATGAATGGGGTTGGACAAGGAACAAAACGGTGAAAATTATATTTCTCGAGAAGCGCAAGCCTGCTATGGTTCATTTGATCAGCCTATAATGATTTGGTTTTTAAGGGTTCAATATTCCACCCACCTTCAATTATCAATCAGGTTCAGATCTTTGAAAATATGGTTATCCAAAACACACTTAATGAATCCAGTATTCACAACTTGTCTCACTCCCCTTTGATTGTCAACTTAACTAGGTGGTCAAAACCATCAAGAGGAGTGGTGAAACACAACATAGATGGTAGTGTAGGAACCATTTCTTCTAGTGGCAATATGATTCTTCGCAACAGTGCTAGATAACTTTTTGCTTGATCAACTCCCATCCAAAAAGAAAGCCCGTTGAGGGTTCGAAACTGGCTTTAGAGGTGGGTATTTCTCGCATCCTGGTTGAGAGCGATGCCCTCACTTTAGTCAAATGTTTGTTGGTGGATTCATTGGATCCACCGTCATCTATTAGCATCTTAGTCGTTGATTGCAAACAGTTGTTGCATTGCTTCTCAAGTTACTCGGTTTATCACATTCCTAGAAGAGTGAACATGGCTGCATATAAACTGGCTAAATTTGCTTTACTTTGTACAAAGAGTTAAAACTTGGTCTCAAGTGTTTAATTTCCTCCTCAATACTATTGTACAAGAGATGTAAACCGAGTTTGTTGATGAATGAATTTGCCCTAAGGGGCCTTCTAAAAAAAATTGAAAAAAAAAATTGTTTTTGTGTGCTTACAGGATGGGCATATCGATAGTCCCACCTCCATACTCCATACCAAATGAGAAAAGAAAAGGCAACACACAGTCAATGAAACAATCAATGTAACATTTCAATGAAATTGAAATGGTTATATAGTTTTCACAACCATTGTTTACATTTAAAATTTTGAAAAATAATGGAGGGTAAGATCGGCAACAAAAGGATAATATTTTAAAATTTGGAAAAATAATGAAAGGTAATCCAACAAAAAAGGGTAATATTGGATTCTAAAACAATTTTGTACTTCACATCATATCGCATGTGTTGTGATAGAACACTAATGAACACTATCAGCAATATCAGCAAGGGAGGATTTAGTCAATTGTCAAAAATCTTGGGTTTACTTTAAAACAATTTCTAAACAGTAATGTACAAGTCAATTTCCTAAAACTTAAAAGGATACTTTAAGGGATTTGTCCTTTTATATTTGAGTGGGATTGGCTTTTTAAGGGTCAGTTTGGAAAGAGTATAAATAAAAATATGTACAGAAGCCTCAGGACAATGTGAACGATGACAAATTTTATCTTATATTTTGGTGAAATTGGTACTATAGAATTTAACCTAATTAATCATGTAGCCCTTTTTTAGTATTCAACAAGGTTCAAAATATTGATACAGGGCGACATGCCGATAGGACATATTGGCCTGTATTGATACTGTTTTTCTTGTTTTTTTATTTTTCAAATCTGGTTCAGAGGACCCTGTTTAAGGCCAGTCTACCCCCTGAACCACTCGCTGACCCAAAACACTCCCTGTAGGGATGTATCGGAAAAGCCCCAATGCGATATATATCGGCCAATACAACCCAATACATATCAATTTTTGAACCGTGGTATTCAGTGCCATGCACCATTAATAACTTCCCCCTTGACCCCTTTTTCCCGAAATGTTGATTGCAGGATTCAATTCTGCATCAACGTTAAAACAAATCAGCTAAACACACCACCGAGCCAACCTCGATTGGTCATTATTAATGTAGCCAACCCCCATATAATTTGGGATAAGGCTTATATGGTGATGATGATGATGATTTAACCTGATTATGACATTAGAGGTGGGATCGCATGGTGAAAACGTTTTGGTAAAAATGCTTGAACGTTGAGCTACCTCAAGACAAGTATAGATATTTGATCACTACAATTCTCAAGTCTATCACCATGACGTGTTCATAGTCTCATACTGTGCCCCTACCGGGCTTTACATGTTACCGGCGGTTTAGAATTGAACATGCTGAAATATATTAGTTCAAAATAGAGACATGTCCATATATGGTCCACAAAAAAGCAAAATTACTGCAATTTTTTCTACCAGTCCACATCAGAAAATACCGATGGGACAAGTTCAACGTATCGCCCCATATCGACATACCCAGTTCCAGGCATATCGTATCTTATTAGGTGATCACCAAAACGTTAATTCATGGATTTTGGACATCCCACTCATCAATAATACATAACACATTGTAGTTGGTAATTGGTAGATCGGAAAAAAAAATGCCTGCTTGAATAGCTGTTACTCTTAAGTCAAAAAGTTCCAAGTCTTACATGGAAGCTTGGTTCACTAAACAGTGGATAACAAACTAAAACAATCAAAGCAGTCCCAACCTTCAGAATGGCAGAAAAGAAACCCATGGCTTTATTAACCAAAGAGGCCCAATGAGATGAAACTTTATACATCACCAATTAATATTGATATGTGTTCTATCGCAAATTAATATTAATACTTCTAATGTATGTATAACACATGAATGGGTAGGATTCCACCCTTATTGTTCATAGAGGATAGAGACAGCCCACAATGATCTGCACAATCCTCTCACAAACCATATGACTTCTACATAAGCTAAATATAAAAACAAAAATTAAATAATGGAGAAAAAAGCACACAAGCACACAGAAGTAAATAAAGGTAAAACAATAAATAAACAATCATAAAAAAATAACCTCAAATTTACGACCAACTTGAAGAAATAGCAGTGTCTCCAGGTGGGGAAAAATGAAGGCACTAGTCGTAGCTGGACAGAAAAACCTGTATGGATAAAAAAACAATGTGGCATTATGGTGATGCAAACGGTGAAACCATGAAGAGGTAGATAGATAAATACAGAAGACGGGTGAGTACGTACCTTGGTATGATGATTAATATTTAACTGTTCTTGACTCAAAATGAGCAAAACAAACCATTCTCTGGAGCCAACTGGATGGTGAAATATATCCAAAGAAAGGAACAAGGTCCTCTTTGGCTTAGTCAACTTTTGGGTGCAAATGCAGCCAAAGCATTAGCATGTGCAGGTGAAAGATTGCTTAAGATGGGTTGCAACTGATGGCCATATAGGGAAATTATGTGAGAGAAAGCTCTGCCAATTTGACCCTTAACCTCGGGAGTTTCAGACGGAGATGCCACCACTTGAGCAAAAAGATGGATCAACTCTGGGACTAGAGGCAGGATCTGCTCAGATTTCCAGGAAGATGAGAAGTTTAAACCATAGTTGTACTAGTTTAGACTTTAGATTTCAGATACATAATGAAGCATTAAGATCAGAGTATCACACATACATGGGGATTTGAAGATAATACTAGATTAGAAACACAACTATATACAGCCATAGACTCCTCGTGATCCTCCTTCAATGGTAAAACTTTAAGAAAAACTGGGAGAACCTGGGAATTGAAACAATAGATGGGGAGTGAAGTATGCCTATCAGATTTAGCATTAGCTGAAATAGCAAGAAAAGATGGAATATCTGAAGATTAACCTGATTCAAAGGGATAGACTCAGGATGCACCATAATCATCCTTGCAACTGCACCCGCAGCATTATCTCTTACGGCATTATCTGGTTCAGATTCTCCGAACAATGGGTAAAGTCCATGAAGTACACCTGAATAGTATCTGGTCTAGATGAAAGGAGAAGTTTTGACCAGAGTACATAGAGCAACTCATTTACATGCATTCATAGCAAAATGGACAGCTTTGGTGCTCATGCAATATACCTAGTAAGCTTTCAAGTGAAAATAGTCACAAAATAAATGGGATAAATAAAAAAACGGTTCATATGAAACAATATGCCCAAATTGATAAAAGAAATTTTAGCAGAAGAAATTGATAGAATCTAGATCCATAAACAGGAAAATTAATATTTTACAGAAAGGATACTTCAGGGTTGGCTCTCCTCCATTTCTGCACAACTCACCCACACAAAATGCAGCATTCCTTCTATTAGTTGCCTCTGGTGATGCCAGTTCTTTCAATACCAAGGGCATTACATTCTGGGACAGGACATAATTGTTCAGTTGAAGTTCAATGTAACCTAAGATGTAAAGGCAAGGAATGAAGGATAATTTCCATTGCACATAAAATTCTTACATCAACATAGCCTGCAATTGGAGAGCCCATTTCCTGGGCAACTTCAGCAAGACAGGCAACCACCATGGTACGATCTTGTGGAGGGTGTGAAGCTTTCTGTACTCATGAATAGAACAATGGAGATAGGTCAAGCATATGGAGACTAAGAAAAAAAAATCAAGGGTTTGAAATAAATAGAAAATATTTCTCACAGTAACCAATAAAGCAATCTTACTGCAAATTTCATCAAAGGTTCAAACAGATTTGCAAAGATAGGACCAAAATGAGGTCCCATGGATTTTGCAAATGCAGGAAGGAGATCAGATACTGCATCCATGAGCACTTCATCATGTTCAGCATCAGTGTCATCGATATCACTATCAGAATCAGCTTGCTGACAAGCTGAATCTTCTCGCAGTAGTATTAAAGTTGCCTCAACAAGCCTAGGTATATCTGAAATCAGATCACATAAATTGAATATACCAACTGATATCTTGAAAACCTACATTAAAAAACATATTTTGTTTAAGACAAACATGTGGGAAAACTCTTATACTGACAAGGCTCAAGTGCCATGTATTCATATTCCTTGATGATGTCTGCTGTATTCATACAGGTTTGAGCAACAACTTCTTTATCATCATCTTCTGTCATTGTCTTGATGTAGATATTCATCACATTATCTACAAGTTATATTGAATTGCATTCAGCATACGACAAAAAGGAATTAAGCCTACTAAATGACAACTTCCAAGCTATTCAAAAACCATTTCTCATTCTTTTCCCATACCAAGAAATTCTTTTGCCTTTGTCTGTCCTTCCTGCACATAGAAGTTAGACATGAGCAAAGTAGTAGCATATTTGCCACCAAAAATTCTCCTAAAAACTAAACTCCATAATCAAAATTTGAAGTTATCAGTGGGGGTGGGGGTTGAGGGGAGATAATACTGTCAAAGTATACTTACATTGTGGCCTTGGAAGACTGCCTGTGCTGCTGTCAACATATCTGAAAAAACAAAAGGCTGCCTTTGTGAGCACATCACAAGATAATATATAATTGATATTTTAAGAGTGCATCACCAACCCATTAATAAAATTTATGACCACCTTAACATAAAATGGCATCGACATGAGCTATTTAACCATGAACTGACAAACAGAAGTTGAACCTTGACTGTCAAGCTCATCTGAGCTTTTGAATGTGTTAACTTCAGAAATGTTCACATTAAGAAGCTTCCAAGCATCATGAGGAAGGTACACGTTGCACATCATAACAAGATTTATATCAACAAAAATAAACTTTCCTAAGCACACATTATAGCTTAGCTTAGCTTAGCTCTATTGCTATTTACCCAGACCCATAATAAGCATCTCTCTAGATATCCAGAGGGGTTCAATTTTTGGATTTCATAAAAGGATACCCTCCCTAACTATGCCTTCCCAGACCAGAACAATGTGGCAACATCCCCCATTGGAAAAAACTAATGAATTTTTATCAATGCAATTTTAGAAATCCTGGGGAGTCAGCTATTAGTGGAGTATTAAGAAACCATAGAGGGGAGATCATACTAGCTTTCTCATGACCAACCGGCATGGGAAAACCCATAAAAGCTAAGTGCAAGCTGTTCTTCAAAGAATGAGGCCAGCCACTACATCTAGATTTACAGGCTTGATAATAGACTCAAAATAAATGTAAGCTGGCTAAAGGAAGAAAAGGACTGCCCTTGGAGCATTAGACATCAGATTAGTGAAGAAAGATTTCTATGCTTTTATAATTAAGAATGGTTCACCTTGTACATTAAAGAAATGTACGAGGGTGCAACAACCAGTAGGAGAGAAGCAAGATGGGCAAATGAAGGAGTGCATCTGGAGTCTTCTTATGTGATAAGCAAATACCATTTAGGCTAAAAGGATAATTCTATTAACAGTGGTAAGGGCAGCAATGTTGTAAGCAGTGTTTGGAAGTCGAGAAATATCTCCAAAAAAAAATGAATCTAGCAGGAATACAAATGTTGAGATGGATGAGTAGAAAAACTAAAAAAGGACAGAGTTAGAAATGATGGCATTCAAAGGAAGATGGGAATAGCTCCAACAGATGATAAAATGGTTTGGCTACATGCAGAGAAGACCATCTACAACACTAGTAAGAATCAATGTTTTGAAAATCATAATCATATTGTAAATCATAGAGAAAGTTGAATCAAATCGTATCGTAAATCATAAGATTATTCCTGTTTTATACAAACTTGTCAAAAATTTAAATATAGATATATTAAAAGGCTAAATATATATAGGAAAGTGATTTTACCCCATTTTTCATCTATATCTACCATATATGTACTTAAAACAATAGAGTTTACCATTTATACAATAAAGTATATAATCAAGTTTGACTTGAAAATCAAACAAATATACATACAATGGCCCTTTAACTTACATATGATAGAAAATAAACTCAATTTCTAGTCTTGAATAATGTAAATAAGTCATTTTCTAGCAAGGGCTTTAAAAAAAGTCTCCCATCGCAAAACTAAACATATAAAAAAACAAAACAAAACAAAGTAGAGAACTAATTCTTAATTGAATTTATTTGAAACAAAAAGATCGTAAGATTTATGAATAAAATCGTTAAGATTTTTGCAGAAAAGGATTCAGACATGAGATTCGAATCGAAACCCTTGGGATTCATTATTCAAATCATGAATCGTATAAAAAATCATAAGATTTTGACAACAATGGTAAGAAGAAGTGATCTACTACAAGTTGAAGGGGCTAGACAAGCTAGGGGCAGACTGAAAAGGAGATGAGTTGAAGTAGTAATAAATGATTTAAGTGCTTTTAATTTAACAATAGATATGGCACTGAACAGGATGGAATGGCAAAAGATGTTGATCATTTTGCAAAAGCAGGCCAGAGCATGTTAATCTAGACAATAGTCCAGAGGATCCACTCTCTAATTAAGGTACAGAGTAGAAATAGTACTCAACAGGCAGATGGATGATAATTTCTACAATTCTACTTACGTTTCAAAGCAATAATTGCCTGAGTAGGCCAGAGCATGTTAATCTAGATAATAGTCCAGAGGATCCACTCTCTAATTAAGGTACAGAGTAGAAATAGTACTCAACAGGCAGATGGATGATAATTTCTACAATTCTACTTACATTTCAAAGCAATAATTGCCTGAAGCCGGACATCCTCATGAAAGTACCCAGAATGCCTCACTAATATCTGCAATGACTCCTCCAAATAGCTTAAAACAATTAAAGAACCCAAATAGTGATGTCCATAACTTTTTAGTGCAAAAATATGAGAAAAAGAGGATACGGTGCATATGAACTCTTTGTATGCAGTGCAAACAGTCCAAGGGCCTGAGTTGCTGCTGCCTTTTCATCCAAAACCCCTGTTCTTATGCTAATGTTGCGCACTCTTGGTTCATCATGAGCATCATCATCAGAAGAAACTCCACCAAATCCATTAACACTTCCATCACCATCAGAATCATCAATGTCTACTGCAGAGCCATCGTCAAGATTGCATGAAGAAAATGCAAGAGGCACAACATGTTGAAGGTACTGTTTACCAAAACAGAACTTTGTTACATATATGACATTCATGATTAGAGAACCAAGTTCAAAGAAATTGGCATTAAAATTTAACTTGACAAGGCAGTTATACCTGCACAAAGCCATCATCCATAATTTCAGCAACATTGCTGAAAAACCCATGAGTGTATTCTCTAAGTTCACTGAAATCCAATCCAAAACCCTGAAAAAAATAACTATAAATCATCCATTGGAGAAATTAAATGTCTGCTTACTAAGTGAAGATGTTTTATATGTGAATTACAGAAATTGCTGCTTCAATGAAAGGAGGTAATATTGGTTGCATCCTTGTTCTTCCAACAGCCATTGCAACAATGCCAACTAGTTCAGTTGCCCTTGCTCGTGAACGAAGGTCCTCATCATTAGTAAGCACCATGAAAACTTTCATCATATCGAGAACCCTCTCAGCATATGGAATGAAAGCTTGTTCTGCAGCAGCTGCTATAGAACCAACAGCAGACTGCAAGGAAAACCAAGTCAGCAGTTGGATTAAAAGGCATAATGCCACCAGAAAAAGTAAATCAATTTATACCATGCATGTCTCCTGCAAATTACGGGGGCTATTTTGAAGTGCTGCAAGCAATCTCCCCATCAAAGGATCAAGATAAGGAAGTATTTCCTCACCCATGTTCTCACAAAATGCTGCCAATGCATAGTAGGATTTTTCCTGGCAAAACAAGAGAGTCAAGTGACTTAAAGCCGTATGGAAATCTTAACTATACTTACCTATATTTACCTATATTTACCTTTACTTCATCAGATGCATCTTCAAGGGCATTTAAAATGCAAGGAAGTACACTTTCATAGTGTGATATAATCTCAGGCTGCAGATGCTCTGCAAATTGACCCAATGCAAATGATGCAGCCCCTCTTACCATTTGTTCTTGATCCTTCAAAGCTCCTAAGACAATATGAAGAACGGGTTCCAACTTATCTTTCATCAACTCAAAACATCCTTCTGATACGACACCTAATGCTGTCACTGAAGCTTCCCGATATTTTGGGTTAGTGCTCTGGATGCTTAATGAAGAAAACTCAAAAACAGGAGGAAAAACATGCTTGGAAAGATTCAAAGCCATTGTGTCAAGAACCTCTGCAGCAGCTCTATCAGATGCAAGGTCATCATCTTCATCCCCCTGAGTTTCTGCAAGTAAAGGGCATATAACTTGTAGGATGGGGATGACCAGTTTATGCTTTTTCAAGGAATTGTACTTGTACTTTGCAAGCCATGAAATTATCTGTATAGCCTGATGCATTCAAAATAGAGGAAGATATCAAGGGATCTAGCATGATAAGAACAAGAATGAAGCATGACAGTTGACTTTGAGATTCTAGTCTAACCTGATGTCGAGTATTCAATTCCAAATTTTGACTTGAGCAGACCTCCAGAGAAAACTGTACAATAGATCTCACAGATTCTCCAAGAAGAGGTGCAGGAGATTCAATGAGCTCATCAAAGATTTCAAAAGCAATTGTTGCAACATCCTCCTCGCCATTGGCAAGGCAATGCCGTGATACATTCAAAATGCTGGGAATAAATTCTCGAAATTTGACCTACATAAATACAACAGAGACAAATGCTAAATTATTAATAAATTACAACTCCCCATGATGACACAATTCATTGCAATCGTTTACTGGAGAAGCATGAAATAACTAGAGACTGAGACATTATGAAAAAGAATGTGAACAAATGTAAAGACTTGTCTGCTTTTGAATGACTACTATATATTAAGAAACACACTTAAATTTGCTAGAACCAAGAATTCATAAAACCACATAAACCATCAAGTAATGAAAGAACAAAATGCTCATGAACTCAAATTGTTTTACAAGCAAATGACACAAGATAAATTCCACTTCAAGAACCCTTGATGTAATTCCACTTTACTCCATGATACATCAAGAATTTTTACTGTATTTGAGGCAGAATGTCAACAATACTCATGCCCAAACTCCCAATTCTGTACGCATATAGTTAACAGAAGTTATATTGTCTGTCCTCTATATATCCTCCACAACCCTGTATACTCAGCAACAACTAAGGGGCATTTGGGATTCTGAATCACCCATTGTTATTAGCATGTTACAAGTTATTGAAGGAATTTTCATGGACCCTTCTAAGCTGGATTGTCGTATATGGACCTCTAATTCCTCCGCAACCCCGTATACTCAGCAACAACTAAGGGGCGTTTGGGATTCTGAATCACCCATTGTTATTAGCATGTTACAAGCTATTGAAGGGATTTTCATGGACCCTTCTAAGCTGGATTGTCGTATATGGACCTCTAATTCCTTGGGCCCATTCTCTTGTGCTTCCTTTTTTCAGACCTTAAACCCCCCTCCTAACTTGAAGCCTTTCCTTGTGAAGTGTGGAATAATATTTTCCTTCCTAGAGTAGGTGCTTTCTATTGGGAAGTGTTCCATGAGAATTAATACCCTAGATATGCTTCAAAAGAAAAGGCCAAACTATTGTTTATCCCTCAATTGGTGTGCTCTTTGCAAAGCAAATGGTGAGACATGCTATCACTTTATTTACCAATTCTGATATTTCTTCTTTTCCTCCTATGTTTCCTCTTCCTATTTTCACTGATGACCCTATCCCTACTATTGGTAAATCTCCACCCATTCATGTGTTTACCAATACTGGAAGGCCATCAATCATATAAGTGTATACCCATAGGTAGACACTGATTCATCCTCTAGATTTCTCAGCCAACAGATCGAACTATTTCCCCTACTTCTGACCTTGACCTTCCAATGGTTGTGCACAAAGGTAAATTAAGTTGTACTCTTCATCCTATGTCTAATTATGTTCTGTTTCTCATCTTTCATCTTCCCATCACCAGTTTGTTTCTTTTTTGTCTTCCATGTTTGTTCCTAAAAATGTCTAGGAAGCACTTGCCTCTCCAAGGTGGCACCAAGCAATGGAGTAAGGGGAAGATTCTTTTGGTGATATATGTAGATGACATTGTAATCACTAGTAGTGATACTTAGAGTATTGAAAGATTAAAAGGATTCCTACATAGTCATTTTCAAATGAAAGACCTTGGCAAGCTGAAGTAATTTTTGGGTATTTGCAAGGTCAAGGCATGTCATCAATCTGTGTCAAAGAAAGTATGCCCTTGATCTATAAGAAGAGACAAGGTTGTTGGGTGCTAAACTAGCTAAAGCACCTATGGAACCTAATTTTGAACTTAATACTGACACATGGGAGCAGTTTGATGATTCGGCAAGTGCAAAAGATTAGTTGGTATATTAACATAACTATAACCCAACCAAATATCTCTTTTGCAATGAGTGTGGTGAGTCAATTTATTAGAGTCCTCGGGTTCCTCATTGGAATGCAGTTATTATAGTTTGTTTTGTCCGTGGTCAGGATTGGAATCATAAATGGAAGGGGAATCTACAGGAATTGGAATTTGGAATCGCCTATTCCCAACGCTTGTTTGGTTCAGAGAGGAATCAGAATCAGATTCCGATTATTGTTGTTTGATTCAACTGGAAGCTGAAATCAAAATCAGCCAAATTTTCCAGTTTTACCCCAGTTAGAGGAGAAAGAAGAGGGGTGGATTCCAGACTCTGTTCAGCTGTTGTCACAGTGGCAGCAGGAGATTTAGAATGAAGAAGAAGAAGAAGAAGAGGGGAAGAAAGAGGGTGAATTCCAATCTCTATTCGGCTGGGCACACAGGGAAAGAACAACCAACTAGTGACTAGTCTTAACTCACCGGAGATGGTGGCCAATGGCGGCTACCTTTGATGAAGGAAGGTCTGAGATGCTAAGGACTTGAGTCAAGTAGGGCTTTGGAACAAATGGAGGCTTTTTGTCAAAAAAATAAAAAAATAGGGAAGTCAGAATGGGAATCGCATTCCCAGTGGGGCCAAAATGGCCATTCCCCCATATAGGAGAATCCCATTCCAATCAACCAAATGGTTGGAATCAGAATGGGCCATTGCGATTCTGATTCCAAGCGCCTATTCCCGTGAACCAAACAGACCCTTATAATTGTATGGTAGTTAAAGGGAGCCCCAAATTGTGGACTGGTGTATAAACCCTAGTGGAAAGCTTGAGATAAAGGTTATGCCAATGTTAAATGGGTTGTTTCTGTATTGGACAAAAGATTGAACACCAGATATTGTACCTTTTTGAGAGAAAATTTAGCAACCTGGAAAAATAATTAACAAACAATTGTGGCAAGAAGCAATGCTAAAGCTGAGGAAAGAGCCATAGCACATACTACTTGTGTGCTAATTGCTAGTGTGGTTGAAGAATCTACTTCAAGAGATTGAGTTTTCAGTGGACAGCTCCATGAACTTGTACTGTTACAACCAAGCTGTTGTTCATATTTCTTCTAATTTGGTATTTAATGAGAGGACCAAGAACATAGAACTTGATTGTCATTTTGTGAGGAGAAAGATTTTAGTGGAGTAATTGACACTACAGATGAGTCGAGTCAACTGGTAGATCTATTTACTAAAAGCTTGAGTCGAGTCAAGGAAGAGGTAACTACATATACAACAAGCTAGGACTATATGATATATAGTCTCCAACTTGAGGGGAAGTGTTAGTAGCCAACCTATTAAGGGTGTTTTGGCCTTTTCTCTTTTAATAAAATGTAATTAGTCTTTTATGCCCTATTTTAAGTTGTGTGCCCCATATTTAAATAGAGGCACATCAGTCTTTGTACTTCACTTTGTAATATATAAATATTAGCTGACTGAACTCATTGGATTGATTTTTCTCTCCAACTAGACATTCTTTCTCCCACTCCTCTCTTTTTCTTTTCTTCTTGCTATTCACCGTAACATTGTTGCCTTTCTCTTGGTCAAGTCATTATTTTTCCATATTAGTTAAACTTAGAGTGCATTTGGCATTCCTTATTTTAAGGAATTGTCTCCTTTTTGCAGTTAAAAACTCAGTATTCATAGGAGCATTTTAACTGCAAAAAAGCGATTAGTCCTTAAAATAAGGAATGCTAAATGCAGCCTTGTCACTGTATTACCGAATAGATATATGCCAATGCTTGATCCATTTTAGTTAGAAAGCACACTGTAGCCTTTAGGTACATCATATATGTATGACCAAAAGATAAAATAAGTATAAGAAAATGAAAGACATCAAGAATCCATTAACAACTACTGAACCAATACAAGGCAATAGAATTAAGCTGAGTGACAGAGCAATAAACAATGTTGATTGGCAGATTAGACGATTGTATTGCCTACTCATCCATATGGATGCTGAGAAGCTTCTCGTTTTATTTTTAATACAAATCAAGGTTAATGACAAAAAAATGCAGCAGAATAAGAAACCATCTGAAGTAATTAAAAGAAGTACCGTACTCAGCAGACAAGACAAGATTATCCCTTCCGTTTGTACTTATTAGCATAGTATACCCAGAGTTATTTTAAACATAGAGAAGACTCCAAAAAAACACATTAACAATTGAAGACATGTTTGAAGTTCTTAGAAAAAAACAGACATGTTGAAATCAGCAATCAAGCAAAATAAAGGATTACCACTTCAGCCCCATCATGAGTGAATTCTAGAAAAGAACCAACTGCCCTGATAACAAGAACAGAAGCCAAATACCACATGAGAAACCATATACATTATTATTATTATTATTATTCTTAAAGGAGGGAGGGGGAGGCATGCTGCATTCCGCAGAGGAGAAGAAAATTACTTGAGGGCAGCAACTCTGACACGTGTACTGGTCTCATCCTGAAGGCACTTGAGTAGAAGAGATTGTAGATCTGAAAAATATGGTTGGAATGTACTACCAATTGTTTCTGTTAAAGAGCTGAAAAGTATCAATGCCACCTTATATCATCAAAAAGCAAGAGAATGTGTTAGTCCAATTACATTTTAAATCAATATTCTTATAAATGATTAAAAGATAAAGTTCCAAAGTTACCTAGAAGTAAATGTTAAATGTAGATATCATGGGGTCTTTTGAATACGTCTGTTATATTTCCCTTATGTAGCTCTATTACAAAAAATAAAATAATGCAGAAAGAATATAGCTTCCTATGGAAATATACTCACCTCTCTATGATCTTCTTGTGCACTCTGACTGCATTGGAACAGAAAGGGCAGCAAATCCGGCCATTCACCTGCTGGGACAGCATACTTTGCAATGATACTCACCACATTTGCACTAGCTCGCCTCACGGGTGGACTGAAAAAAAAAATATCATTAATGCAAATTCAATCAAATTGATGCATGCCACAAGACAATAATTTCCCACACTCTCTGCATAATTAATTGAACCAATTTAAGTGGGATAGAACAAATAATAATAACCACGGTGTTTCACTCAACAAAATTTACCAGTCCCACCACATTAAAAACAGAATATAGAAACATTATTAATGGCTTCTGAATTTAAGGGAAAACTTGTGTGGTCTAATAAAGAGGCCCTGCTCAAAATTGACATCCTTTTGCACCAAACAACATTTACAGATTCCACCACGACACAGTAGCAGAGTATTACAAGACCAAAAAAGTTAAAGCTTGAAGCTTGACAAAGTCTAAACTGAAACTGCATTTGACCATAAGTAAACAAAGCATTAACACCCACATTACAGTATGAACACGGTCTCAAATCAGTTACAATGGGTCTCAATCATCAACTACTTGATAAATTGAATAAACTGAGGCAGGAGAGATACCTATGTTCGAGCGTGATGCTTTCAATGAGGGAAGACTTGACCAATTGCTTGAGCTGAGGAGAGAGCTTAGCCCAATGGCCAGTGATCTTCTTGCGGAGGAGAACGGCTGAGAGCTGCCTGACGTTGGGGGTCTTGGCGGTTCGGAGGTGGTGAGCCAACGCCGGTATAACTTGTGGGTCCTTCGCTAATCGCTTAATTTGGTCCTCGGCCTGTCTCCGGGCATCGTTGTCTGGCATCAGGAACTGAATTAGAAGCAGTTCTAATGACTGTGCCATCGTCAGGTCTAGTCTTCTCTCCCTCTCAGACAGGCACTCTGTTCGAACTTCGAGGTAGTAAAGAAGAGAATGGGAAGAAAAGAAGAGCAAAACCCTACGCCCGATGAAACGGTTCGGTTTTCGCTTTTTATGCGAGCGGGCGGCGCTACCGTTTTATACGGATACGAATGTATGCCGTCTCTTTTATTAAGGACGGGAAGCTCTGGCTGTTGGGTGGGGGCCATTAACGCTCAAGGGGTCGAGTCGGGCGTAGTGTCATTTTGGTCCTCGAATTTTAAAGCAGGATAATCCAATATTTGAACTTTCAAAACATGCTAATTTAGTACCTACCATTAATTAATTTATTAAGTGGCATATGAAAGAATTTAAATGTCTTTCTTAGATGTCATCTAATTTTCTTTATCAACCATTCAAATACTAACAAAATAAATAAAGATAAAACTAATATCTTGTATTTATGTAGTCAACGAAGTTTATTGTTCCTTGAATATGATCTATTCATAAACCAGCACAATGATGAATAGTCCTTGAATAAGTTACAACCGTTACTTGAACAGTCCAGAAGTGGTTATCCTTTACAAGATCCAAATGGTACTGGCATCCTCAGACTTTGCTAGGGTAGCACTCGTAGCTGCTTCGGTGTGTGAGTGATGGTAGTAGCACTTGGACTTTGTTGGACTTTGTTGGGGTAGCACTCATATCTTCTACTGCTTACTATCCTTCATTTCTTGAATTTGTAGAGATAAGGAAAGAGAAAGGGAAGGGAAAGGCCAAAAGTTTCATGCAGAGAGTTAGAAGTTAGATCTTAAACTAGGTTTGTCTTCTCTCATTTTAGTAGTTTGGTGAGTCTAGTTTTGTGGCGGTGGCAACATTGAGGGATTAGAGCGAATGAATGACTAATATCCTCATGAAAACTTTCTCAATTGAAATGCATGAACAACAACTAATATCCTCATGAAAACTTTCTCAAATAATGTTTGAATAAGCCACCGAACCTAACCATGGCCACAAGGCCATAACATTAGATCTATAATCTCCCAATCTCATGAAGCGCCCGGGGAAGCACAAACTCAATGTCAAATCTTGTAACTCACTCAACAATGAATGAATTTGTAAGAAGGGGTAACCGCCAACAAAAAACTTTGGTTATTTGCGCCCATGCTGCTATATATCTAGTAAGTTTCCTCTAGGACATTGTAGCCAATCTATACACCACTAGTCCCCCTGTTTTTCACGCTTCTGGGTTTCCATCCGTCTTTTCCTTTTCTTTTTTCTTTTTCTTTCTCTATCACTACTTGGAGAAATCAAAACAAAGAAATGGATTGGCTTTCCACTACTACACTGCTTCCATATACGTTTTAGGGGAAGAGGGACAACATTGCAAGGTAATTGAGGTTTATCTAGGAACATATCAAAGCTCCCCTAATCGTTTTCTTTACTTCATCGGATGAGTGTTTTAGTTTTTTTTTTTTTTCCTGCTACTGATTTGGGTTTTAGATTAGACCTAGCTAGCATTCATAAGCTTAAACCAACTAGTCAACCTAAAACCACTTAATTAAGAGGAAAAATCAAGTGTTTTTCCCTCTCTAAAGTTTCAATTTTGACTTGTGCTTATTCTTATTACGATACAAGACCACACTAACAAGGTAAAAACTGGAACTTCTTTTCTAGTTCTAAATGCAACTTTGATTTTGCACTACATAGAAGATGATGAATAGTGTTTTATTTCGAAGGACAATTTTAATATTTTCAAAAGTTTGAAGTCGCACATGTCATCATGTGTGTCAGCACCCAATTTTTGTTCAATCCCCTCTCTGATCCACTCCTCACACTCCAAATGCTTGATCAAACCCCACCATTCTCTCCAAAACATGTCAAAACCCTAAAAGATCAAATTTCGACACAAACACCCTCAAATCCACTATTAAAACTACAAGATTCCTTTCTAATGGCCACTACTATGCTCCATCACCACACCTATCACACTTCCAGACCCCATCATATGAAACAAAACCTATAAACATCCAATCACACCAAATTTTAGGCATAAATTCCTTGATTTCACCATCCATCATAAAAAATTCCATTTTGACGAACTAAACGCTGCGACTAAAACCCACAATCCAAATATCAACCTTAAATTCCTTGATTTTGCCATTCACCAATCAAATATTCCATTTTGACGAACCAAACACTACGACTAAAACCCACAATCCAAATACTCTAGACATGATCAAAACCTTCATCAACCTCTCAATTGTCAAGTTTCAAATATCAAAATGACCATTTCACTCATTCATTTAAAAAGATTCTAAATAGATCATTCTTATTGGTAGTCACTCTCTAAATTCAAGATCTCCATCATAACATATAATCCAACACCTCTCAACACATCAACCCCACGATCACCCATCCACTGAATTTCAGACCTAAAATCCCAATTTTGCCCTTATCATGAAAAAGGTTTCGATTTGAGCCCTTTCATCACTCGCTACTCATGAAATCACATATATACATTATGACACTTTTTCCAAGGCCTCCAAACCTTAGCAAAACCTTCCTCAACCTCTTGATCGACCCATCCACTAAATTTTAGACCAAAAACTCTCATTTTGCCCCTCCTATGGAAATGTTTCCGATTCAAGCTCTCTCCTTACCTATTAATCTTAGAGTCACAAATCTATATCACAATACATTTCCCAAGTCCCCCAAACCTTACCAATGCCTTCCTAAAACTCTATCATACAAAGATTTAATTCTGAGCCTTTTACATTGGTCGAATCACTTGTACCTCAATTTCCCTCGACCCAAACACATTTGAACCAATTAAATCTTATCAATTCATCCAAGACATTTAGAAATCCGATCCTATAAAATTTAAAATCAAAATTCCTCGATCTATGTATCCATCAAACGGAGATTCCATTCTGAACATTTTCATTAGTCAGACCACATATACCCCGAATTACCTAATCTGAATGTATTTGAACCAATCAAATCTTGTCAATTCATTCAAGACATTCAGAGATCTGATCCTACAAAATGTCAACTCAGAATTCCTCGATTTGCCCAGCCATCAAACGAAGATTCCATTTCAGGCTTTCTCGTACATTGGATTACTCATACCGAAAATTGCCTTGACCTAGACACATTTGAACCAATCAAATCATGTCAATTCATCTAGGACACTCAGAAATACCATCCTAAAAAATTTCAACTCAAAATTCCTCCATTTGCCCATCCATCAAAGGATATTCTATTTTGAACATTTTCATTGATTGAATTACTCGTACCTCAAATTCCCCCAATCCAAAGACATTTCAATCAATCAAATATTGCCAATTACTCCAACACATTCAAAAATCTAATCCTACAAAATTTCAACTCAGATTCCTCCGTTTACCCTTTCAAATTCTCTTGATTCAAGCACTAACAGGCCAATCTGACCCCACTAATCGATCTAAAATGTCCAAAAATCCTACCCTGTCAAATTTTATCCAAAAATACCCCTATTTACCCCCTTTTCTAATCGATTTAACCAAAATACCCCTAAACTTCATAAAATTATGAAATTACCCTTTTACCCTAATATAAAACCCAATCTGAGCTATTTTATCACAAAAACATAATTCGGCTCCTTCAACCTTAAAAACCGAGCAAACCAGTGGCGGCTTCTTCTCCACCGACCTCTTCTCAACCGAACAACCTCTTCTTATTCTCTCCTTTCTATCTCTCTCTTTCTCAGTGTCTCTATCTCTCCACCAACACGGGACCACCTCGAGACACTATTCACTTTCTTGAATCTCTAGACATAGCGGCAAACAGGGTGGTGGTTTCTCTCCCTCAGAACTCTTCTCTCTAAGGCTTTTCCTTATTTTTCTTTGTTTCTTCCTTTCTCTTTCTCTTTCTCTTTCTCCCTCTCTCCCTCTCTCCTTCTCATCCCTTCACCCCTCCATTTTCCCCTCTTCCCCACAGCTACTGCAGCAGCGGTAACTCTTCTTGAATCCCTTTCTCCCTCTCTCCCTCTCTCCTTCTCATCCCTTCACCCCTCCATTTTCCTCTCTTCTCCATGGCTACTGCAGCAGCAGTAACTCTTCTTGAATCCCTTTATCCCTCTCTCTTGATATCCTTCATATTTTTTTTACTCGATCTTTTTTCTTTCTCCTCGTAGCAGTCCACAACTATCTCCCTACCCTCTATCAAACTTTCTCTACTCCCCTAAATTTTCGAAGCAAACCAAGCACTGCCACCCTCTGTGGCTACAACTCCTTTCACCTCACGGCATAGTGAACCAGCAGCGATGAAACCTCTTCCCTCTAATCTCTTCCCCATTTTTTTCTCTCTCATTCTTTCTCCCCGGATACACTGTTCATCTCCCCCTTCCTCTCGATAGGGGGGTGTAGTGGCGAGGTAGTAACGGATTCTCTCCCTCTATTGATTGTTAAAGAAACCACTGTCATCACTGCAGCCTTGGGCAACGGTGGTCCTTCCCACTGAATTGGTAAAGCCCTCCCTATCGGTCGTCACTGGCATGTCTGGCTGGATTGATCACCTACACCACCTCTAAAATCACTTGGGAATCCCTTGATTCAAAACATATTTTTAACTATGGACTTCAAGATCACCAGCATCAATTTACAAAGCATCCGTGCGTCATTCTTCACCCTTATCAAGAGGCCTTTACATTCTAATCTAAGGCTTTATTTGGTGTGTGGGATGGGAAGGAAAAATATAGAATATTTTGGAAAATTCCTCCCTTCCCATGTTTGCTATGTGGGATATGTACCCTTAGATGTCTTTCTGTTGCAACAGTGGACCTATAACCGTTGTAATATATGATATGTACCAACGGTTTTAGCTACAGGCATAACCTGTAGTTATATCTCTAATTGAAAGAAAATTTCGATTGTAGTACAATAGTTTTTATTGTCCGTTGTAAGATTTCTGTGGCTAGATCTTACTTTTCTTGTAGTCCTTGGTGGTGGTTTGATGTAGGTGTAAAAGATCTAATTATGGGATTTACCTCTTTTTTATGTATTCTTGGATTGTGATGTTTTAATTTTTAATAGTTGTTTTCTGATTATTTGAGTCATTAGTTTATTTTTTTGATAAGTAACAAATAAATAAATAAACTCATAATCACCGTAATATTAAGA